CCCTCCTAAAACAAAGACCTCTTAGATTCACCAGAAAGGCAAGTAGTGGGGATTGGCTGGGGGTGCTGATAACACAGCAGACAGTAGCAGGGATATCAGAGTATAAGGGCTCCAGTGGGGGGATGGAGGCTATGGAAAGGTGCCATTTGAGAAGTGGGTGTAAAAAAAAAAAAAAATAGGCCATAGAATGACCAGAAGGTGATATCTCATTGTGGTTTTGAATTGCATTTCTCTGATTACTGGTATTGATCATCTTTTCATGTGATTATTAATAACTGACATCTTTGGATAAATGTTCAAGTCCTTTGCCTATTGTTTAATGATGATATTTGATTTGTAGTTGTTGAATTATAGTTCTGTGTATATTCATACCAGATACATTGTTTTCAAGAATTATTTTTCCATTCCACATGCTGCTTTTAGTCTGTTGATCCTTTGATAAACATGGATGTTTTATGTTTGATGTATTCTTGTTTTTTATTCCATTCCCTGTGCTTTTGGTGTCATGCCCAGCAAACCGCTAAGTCCAATGTCATAAATCTCTTACTAGGATTTCTTCTGGGTGTTTTCAGTTTCTTCGGGCCTTTAGTTCATTTTGAGGCACTTTTGGTTGTTTTAAGGTAAGGTTCCATCATTATTCTTTTTCGTGTGAATATCCAGCACATTCTCATTTGATGGTATATGTGAGAGCTTATTTCCAGAGCTTATTTCTGGCTTCTATTCCATTTGTCTGTGTGTATGTCTTTATGCTTTGATTATGATAGCTTTTAGTACAGTGTGAAGTCAGAAAGTCTGAGGCTTCCAACTTTGCTCCTTTTAAAGATTGTTTTGGTTGTTGAGCGTCCTTTGAAATTTCAGGAGTATTCTTTTCTGCTTCTGAAAAGAATTCTGGGGGCTGGAAGGATGGCTCAGTGGTTAAGAACACTGACCATTCTTGCAGAAGACCCAGGTTTGAATCCCAACACCCACATGGCAGCTAACAACTGTCCATAACTTCAGTTTCAGGGGATCCAATAGCCTCTTCTGTCCTCCCCGGGCATTGTACAACACGGGTGCAACTTACCTACATGTAGGCAATACATGCATACATACAAAATAAAAATCATAAATAAATTTTTTTTTTTGGTCTTTTTGAGACAGCGTCTCCCTGTAGCCCCAGCTGTCCTGGAACTCATTATGTAGACCAGGCTGGCCTGGAACTCTCAGAGATCTGCCTGCCTTTGCCTCCCGAGTGCTGGGATTAAAGGCGTGTGCCATCATGCCCGGCCAATAAAATATTTTTTTAAAGAAAGAATTCTGTTGGGATTTTTATGGGGATTATGTTAAATCTGTATATTTTAGATCATATTGCTGTCTTGACAATATTAAGTCTTCCAATCTGTGTCCATGTGCAGTCTCTATTAGTGTCTTGCAGTGTTTTGTAGTTCTCCGTGTACATAACTTACCTCCAAGGTTAATTTTATTCCTAAGTTGTTTTTTTTTTTAATGTTGTAAATAAAATTGTTTTCCTTGTTTCTTTTTCTGATTGTTTCTTGTTAGAACATAGAAACTCTGGTTTTCTATGTGGCAGTTGCACTGACATTATCAGTTCTGACATCTTTAGGACTTCTACATATGTGATCAGGTCATCTATGATCATATTTTTACTTGTTACCTTCCAATATGGGTGTCTTTTAAATGATTTTTAATGACGTGAACAATGCTTACTTTATTAAGTGAAAATAGTCTGTTAAACTGCGGAATGTGACTCCAGTTCATGTATATGGTAGGAGGAACCTCATAATATTTATAAAAATAGGAAAAACATAAAATACTAATGGTGACTGTGTCTCTATTTAATGGGTTTATGAGTAATTTTTATTTCATTCTTACTATTTTTCTATGTTGGCAAATATTGTTAAAATAGTTTTATTAATGTCAATGCAATAATATAAACGAAACACAAAAAGTTTTTTTATTATTAAAAGGTGATAGCTTCCATTATTGATACTTGTTTAAGATGGCCATATTTTTAGTAGCTTTCTGTGTTAATCATTTTAACAGGGGGCTGGAGAGACGGTTCCATGGTTAAGAGCACTTGCTGCTGTTCTTCCAGAGAACCCAAGTTCAATTCCCAGCACCCACGTGGCACTCACAACTATCTACACATGTGTACAACTCAGGCATACACACACACACATAAAATTAATCATTTAAAAATAATTTTAACTTATGAGCAACAAAGTACATTCAGTAGATTCTAAAAACATAAACCAGTTAAAATTAGGCTGGAGAGATGGCTCCCCCTTCTGACCTCCACAGGCATTGCATGACATGGATGCATTTACATACATGTAGACAATATACTCATACACGTAAAAACAAATATTAAATAAAATAAGAAAAAGTCAAAATTTGAAATAATAGTGGAAAATCTTCTCTCAGTGATATATAGCTTATGGAAGTATTAAAATATATTAACTTATTAGAAGATTCAAGTCAGTCTTAGGAGATTTTAGTAATTTAGCTATCAGTGATGCAGAGCTACCATCCCTTTTGACACCTGATGGACTCCCTTTTGGCTGAAGTGTGTTGCTCATTTCCTAGGAGTTTTAGACAAAGTTCTCTAACCCCTGAACTAACATACACTCCTGCATCCCTTTGACCTTAGTAGTTCCCAGCTTTCTCTGTTAGGCTTTGGTGCAGCCAGCAGCTGCCCTTATCAGAGTGGAGGGAAAACATACCCAAACACTTATCTCCATTCCTGTATAAAGGTTTATTCAGCAGCAAAGTTTTCAGAGTACATCTCAAAGAACCTTAGCCACATTAAGCCTTTTATTCTATATTCTGTTTTAAGACTCTGCTAGTAACTGACAACAGACTTGTTCTCCATGGTTCAAATTTCAAAAGACCAAAAATGGTTATTTAATACCAGGCTTTAGATTAGTCCTGTTCCAGTCAGTTGTCCACCCAGGCTCCCTCAGTGACTAGATAACATGACACAAACAATAGTTCCTGCTGAAGGGAGGGGGAGGGAGATTGTCTTAGGAGAGCTTAGAGATAGGCTGGCACTGTTAGTCCTTTAAAGTGTCATTAACATAAACAGGAAAGTCAGGGAGATAAACTGGCTTTTAAGGGATGTTGATACCTTAGAGAATATTAAATTCAAAGGGCTCACAAGCTGTTCAGATGGAAATGAGAAATAAATGGTCAAAACTGAGAATAAGGAATTCCGTGGTTTTCAACTAACTAGTCTCTTCTTTAACATTGCCTGAATATGATGAAACTTCTTGAATATTAACTCTCAAAACCCATTCATACATGTTACCAAAGTCCCTTTGCATCCTACAAATTCAACATACAGACCCACTAGCTTTCTTATATATCAGTAATGAGGAAGAAATTTGAACTAAGACCTCAACAGTTAAACAGTAAATCAGGACCAGCAAGATGGTTCAGCACATATGCCATCAATCCTGATAGCCTGAGTTCAGTCCTTGGGACCAACATGTTGGAAGGAGAAAACTGACTCCACAGTTATCCTCTCACCTCCACATGTATGTATAGGCACACGTGCACACACATATAAATATAGTAAAAATAATTACTGAATCACAGTAAGCAAAATAAGACAGACCCAGAAAGACACATATCACATGAATTTTGTCATGTGTGAAATCTAGGTTTAGCAACTGTGTGTGTGTGTATGTGTATTTTTTTCCAGTGCCTTGGGATCCATGAATGCTAAGTTAGTGCTCCTACCACTATGTCATAATACCTATATCTTTGTTAACATTTTTATTGTATCTATACATATATATGAGTGACATATATTCTTTGATAGTCATAAATGGGTGTTATATCACTCATCTATCTATATATGAGTGACATGAAGCAAAGGGAGTACTATTTTGGAAGAGAAGAGACCAGTGCAAAGTTGGTGGAAAGAACAAGAAGTGGTGTATGAAGGTGACTGTGACTGAAGTACAATGATAGACATGTGAAAATGTCATAAGGAAACCCATTGTTTGTACTAATTTTTAGAAATGAAAATAAAGATACAGACTGGCTGGGTGAATTAAAAAGATGAAAAACCAGTTGATGACTGTCCATGAGTAACTTACCTCCTCACTGGAAATGACATACATGAACTGAAAGTATAGAAATTAATTTTCCTACCAAATGGATTCCAAAAGCAAGTAAGAGTAGCTATTCTCTGACAAAGCCAACTTCAACCTAAAATTAGAAGAAAAAAAAGATAAAGGTCATTGTATATTAACAAATAGAAGATATAATGATTATAAAGAGATATGTGTTGAATGTTAGTGGACCCAATTTCATAAAAACAAGCACTATTGAACATAAAAGGGCATAGAGGCCTAAATATAATAGTAGTAAGTGACTTTGGGCTGGGGAGATGACTCAGTGAGTGAATTATTTCCTGTGCAAGCATGAGACTTGAGTTTGGATCCCCAGCACTCACATTAAATATGCCAGTTGTGGTGGCAAGCCCATAACCCCAAGCACTGGGAGATGGACACAGGAGTATCTCTGGGGCCCACTGACAGGCTAGTCCTGCCTACAGCAAGTTTAAGGTTCAATGAAAAATTCTGCCTCAAAAAATAAGGTGGTAAGTGATAGAAGAATACACAGGACATTGACCTCTGACCTTTGCGTGCGCACACGCACACACATACACTTGCACTGAAAAATATAGTGGGTGACTACACTACCCCACTTTCATTAATATATAGATCACTCACCCAAAAAACGTTAAGAGATGGGGATTATAGCTCAGTGTGATTGGAGCACTAACCTAGCATGCATGAATCCCTTGGCATCCCTAGGTGTGTGTGGGAAACTTCAGTGTACCTAAACTATATCATAGATCAAATGGGAGTAGATAACCGCAGAATGTTCCATAGAACAGCTGCAAAATACAGTTTTCTCAGCAGTCCATGGAACTTTCCTTTTCATATATATTTTAAATTACATGATGGTCAACTTATTTTGGTTTTCAGGTGATGATTTTTCTTTGATCCAACAAGAAATATTTATGGTTAAAGAATGTAAACATTGCAACATCGTAGCCTACTTTGGGAGCTATCTCAGGTAAAAAAAAAATTTTTTTTAAAGTTTCGATCTGTATTTCATATTCTTTTTCCTATTCTTCCTTTTGTGTGACATTGTATATGTGCCTTTTAAAATAGCGTTGTCCAAAGTTCTAAACTTCATGTGCTTGTCCTCTTTCCTGCTTCATTAATAATAGCACTTCCATCTATATGGCATCCTTTTCTGGTAACCTTAAAGGATGAATGATGATATGCAAGTGTGTGATCATGTTCTAAACCATTTAAAATGGGAACAAAACTGAAACCGATGTGCTCTTGTGTATGCTTAAGACGGATTGCTCTGGCAATTTCCTGTTGCCCTCTCTACAGAGCATCCAACATCTTGGTGTGCTAAGAGTAAGTCTTAGAGCTTAGAGTACTTATTTCAGTAACAGAATTACCTACTGATACAGTTTTCTTTCTTTTTCATATTAGTAGGGAAAAACTATGGATTTGTATGGAATACTGTGGTGGTGGATCACTTCAAGATATTTATCATGGTACTGTTAAAATGATTTTGCATTTTAAAGCCTACTTTGACTTTAATGATTGTTGCTTGATATTTCCAGTTAACCAGGGAAATTAATAGGTAGATTTACTCTCTCTCTCTTTTTTTTTTTACATTCTTCTGTCCCCAGAGTATTGCATTTAAAACTAAGAATTTTTATTGTAGTTCTTGTAGTTGATTTTGCCCAATTCTGAAATGTAAAAATCCATAAGTATTTTTACAGAATAAATTTTACTTTTTAGCTGAGCATGATGGTGCATTCTTGTTAACCTAAATGCTCGGGAGGCACAGTCAGAAGGCTACAAGGCTAACCTGGGCTGAGTATTGAAACCCTATCTTAAAAATAAATAAGAGGTGGGGCATGGTGGTGCATGCCTTTGATCCCAGCACTCAGGAGGCAAAGGCAGGGGCACCAGTGTGCGTTCAAGGCTAGCCTCGTCTTACAAAATGAGTTCCAGGCCAACTAGGGTTACAGGGAGACCCTCTCTCAAAAAGATAAAAAAATAATTAATTTTACATTTTAGATGTAATTTCTAGAAAGTAGAACTATATCCACAAATGGAATTGTCTAAATTCTTTATGAGTGTAATGCAGAGTAAATCATATCAAGAGATTATTTAATAACATAATCACTAAACAGAAAAGTCATTTGTTACTTTAATAATTTGTATTAAAATGTATGCATTTTGAAATGAAAAAGTATTTGGTGTTCTATTAATCAGTTTTCTTAATTGAATTTGACTTTTCTTCATAGTCCTTTTTAAGAATAGTTTTAGTTTTGGCTCTACAGTTCAATTTCCAGTTTGTTGTATTGTTGGCAAGTTCCTAGAGTTTTTAAAACTAAATATGAACCCTTATATTTTTCTTTTCCTTGTTTAATATAGATGTGGGTGAGTGAAGCACATGTTGCAAATATGCATTATATAATTTATTAAGAATTATATGAAGTACTTTAAAAGATTTCTGTGCTAGGGGCTGGAGAGGTGGCTCAGCAGTTAATAACACTGACTGCTCTTGCAGAGGACCTGGGTTCGATTCCCAGCACCCACATGGCGGCTATGAACCGTCCTTAACTCCAGTTCCAGGGGAATCCGAAGCTCTCTTCTGACCTCCGCGCCATTGGAGGGTGCACTCACATACATGCAGGCAATACACTCCCACACATAAAATAAAAATAATAAATAAAATATTTTTTAAAAAAGATTTCTGTGCTTAAGTTTTTACATTGGCAGTTGCATCAGAGATTACAAATGTAGCCACAATAGATGAAAGAACAGATGTGCTGTTCCAGTTTCAATAGTGTTTTGTAACTTATAAAGTTACAAAGTTCTTAAAACATCAGTAGAGCAACAAGCAAATAAACTACACTAGATGAGGTGGAAATCTGTGCAGTACTTAAAGAAATGAAATAGCTTCATATAGGCTGATCTGAATATATCTCTTCAGATGTATGTATGGAGTAGTTGATCATATTAGGCTTTTAAATTGTTATTTTTATAAATACGTATGAATGTAAATGCATGGCAAAATGAAAGGATTATCTACCAAATGCATAAGTCGCTATCTCGAAGGAGGAAAAATAGGGCTTAGAAGTAAAATTCTGAATTTTGATTTAAAAAATGTGTTGTTATATTAATTATAAATTTAAAATTTTTGTCACAAATATCAAAACAGTCTTAATTAATCACTATCTCTATTTTGGTTTGTTGTTTTTTTTTTTTAAATAGGGTCCCCCTGTAACACCAAGTGGCCTAGAACTGGCTTTGTAGATCAGTCTAACCTCAATCTTACAGCGATCTGCCTGGCTCTCTATTTTTTTTTAATTTGCCACATAAATATTACAGGTGAACAAAATATTGTAAATTATGTTGTCTCTTAAGAGTTATAATAAACGCCCACATGGTGGTATATACCTTTAATCTCAGCATTTCAGAAGTAGAAGCAGGAAGATCAAGTCAAGGTCCTTAACTATATAAGGGATTGGTTGGAGACCAGCCTGAGCTAATGAGATCCTGTCTCAAAAACAGTTTTAATAAATGACCCTACTTAAATAAAGAAGAAAAGTGCTCCTTATGTATTGAAACATACTAGAATAACTCTTCTCTTTCCCATTATGATTTTAAAGAAATGTTGTTTAAATAACATTTCTGTGTCATTGATGAAAAATTATTTTCTGATTTTATAAAGAATTATGATGGTGCTAGAGAGATGGCTCAGCAGTTAAGAACACTGGCTGTTCTTGCAGAAGACCCGGGTACAAATCCCAGCACCCACATGGCAGCTAACAACTGTCCATAACTCCAGTTCCAGGGGATCTGACAGTCTCTTCTGTCCTCCGTGGGCATTGCATGACGCAGGAAATACAGGCATACACATAAAAATAAATAATTTTTTTTAAAGTAAATTTTTTAAAGAATTATCATCTTTTATATGGGAAATATTTTGTGATTTTTCTCCATCCATGTTTTTACAAAATGAGAGCTGTTGAAAATATAAACCATGTAGTTGGCGGTCTTATTACTTTCTCTTTCATGCTTAAAGAATTCTGAAACATTAATTTTCATGAAATTTCTGTTTCCAATATTAAAACCTGACATTTTTCATTAAATTGAATTTATGGAGTATCTATTCCTTTAATGTAGCATTTA